GAACATAAAATGTTCCAGGATTCAAAAGTCGCAGCCAGAACAACATATAACATGTAACAAGTAGCTGTGACTCTGACCCCCACATAATTAAATGTATTAAGTTTCTTCAAATAAAATCTATTAAAGTGGTTTCGGCCAGAACAGACAGTGCAGGTAATTGACCTATTGCTGTGATGATGATCTAGTGGAAATAGACCTGCATTGTTATAGGTAACACAACGCTTGTAATAATTACTCATCTATTTAGGTAGTTTCATCAAATCACATTTAATAATAAAGTAATTGGAGTCTGCAGCTTGGAGAAAGGCGGACAAATTAAAACGTCAGTCAATGAGTGACTCAATGTTGGTATATCTGAAAAAATGTCCTTGCTGCATACCCTGATGGTGAACAGTCTTACTACACAGATACATATATGTTGAAAATGATGTATGGAAATGTGTGCTTTGTATTACAGTTAAGGCTTGTGGGTTGTGTTACAGTTATCTCCCTTGTTTGATTTTCACTCAATACTATCTAACACATCAAAATTACCAAAGTGCTACAAGCATCAATACATTCATTGCTGCTTTGTAAAACTACCAAGTCAAAATAAACATCTTGAAGGATTCCTACAGAAGAACTCTTTTATATAGGAGATACAGATGGTCACAGTGAGGTATCACATACCCTTAACTTGTTCAAATCAAGGCCCCCTAAGATTATTGCTGGCAAAAAATAAGATTAATGAAGTTATCCTTAGATGAAACTGTCTGATTTCTTGAGATCTGATCAATCACTTTGACACACACCTGTATCTTCACTCAACGACATAATTACAGAAACAGGACGTAGGTACAGATTTGATCATATATCTCAGGAAATCAGACTGTTTCATCCTATAATCAATCAATCTAAATGGGAAAAAAATCTTTAATTAGAAGGTTCATATAACAAAGATTTTCCTGTTTGGTCTATAATAAATCTTCAAACAAAAGCTGATGTAACTAATTATTTTATAGTAGAATCCCATTACACAATGCAATACCATCATCAAAACAAGTTGTGTGTTAAATGTTAGCTTCAAAGTTTATAGGTGTCAACAAAAAAGGACAATCAAAACATGTACAGGCCCTATGGGCATGCATATACATATGAAGCTGTCTGTTGCTCTAATGATTGTAACGCTTTTCTAACTACATGCTCAAATTCTTAACATTGTAGGTCTTGGAAAAGGAACAGGTGATAGACCTCAGAACATGTAAACCACAAAAGTCCAAAGAACCTAACACTACAGAAAAACATGTTTAAAACAGGCCCCAATGATCGTTCTCTACTATGAATTTTTCGAACCAGGAAGGTCTGAAGGAGCTACTAATAATCTACAGTAAAACATGTTTATTACAAACTTCAGAAGTCCTCCCTACAGTAAAACATGTTTATAACAAACCCATTAGTTCTTCCCTTCAGTAAAACATGTTTATAACAAACCCCTTAGTTCTTCCCTACAGTAAAATATGTTTATAACAAACACCATAAGTCATCCCTACAGTGAGACATGTTTATAACAAACCCATTAGTTCTTCCCTACAGTAAAATATGTTTATAACAAACACCATAAGTCATCCCTACAGTGAGACATGTTTATAACAAACCCATTAGTTCTTCCCTTCAGTAAAACATGTTTATAACAAACCCCATTAGTCCTTCCTACAGTAAAACATGTTTATAACAAACACCATAAGTCCTCCTATAGTGAGACATGTTTATAACAAACCCATTAGTTCTTCCCTACAGCAAAATATGTTTATAACAAACCCCATAAGTCTCCCTACAGTAGAACATGTTTATAACAAACCCCATTAGACCTTCCGACAGTAAAACATGTTTATAACAAACCCCATAAGTCCTCCCTACAGTAAAACATATGTTTATAACAAAATGCAAGGGATCTAAGAACTCCGTTGTCTACAGTAAAACCTGTTTTAATGAGCCAGAGAGGACCAAAGTATTTAGTTCTTTATAGTGAAGTACCTAACGTTTATAAAAAACATGACAAGTCCTAAGAAATTAGTCCTCTACAGCAAATATGTTTACAACAAACCAAACGGGACCTAAGTAATTAGTCCTCTAAAGTAGAACACATGCATCTTTCTAATAAGCATAAGAAATTAGTTTATTTATTTCAAAACAGTTGCAAAACAAGCTCTTTCAATTTTTATTAATAGATTTTGTTGGCCCAGATTGTATCACCTAAGGGGTCTTAATGTGTGAGAACACAGGAAAACCCACAAGGTCTTACAGATGACCCCATACATTTTCATGTCCAATCAAGGATTTTAACATCTTGGTGATAGGCAAGTGCCTTATCCACTTCACCACCCAACCATCCAAAATAAGTTCTCCACAGTAAAACATGTTTACAACCAACCACAGGGGACCTCAGAAATTATATATACGTTTATACAGTACATCTTATAAATACAAAATAAGTTCTCCACAGTAAAACATGTTTACAATCAACCACAGGGGACCTCAGAAATTATATATATGTTTATACAGTACATCTTATAAATACAAAATAACAAATCTGTCATGCATTCATATCAAACAACCTTCAGATGCTATTGATTTCAAGTCAAAACTTTGCCATGTGACATATTTCACTGATAAATATTTAACAACAGGGAACAATTCCAATATGAGCTTTAGATAATTATAAACTCTAGATACAGTTTCTGTCATCCTGTCAAAGTCAGCTTCCAATAAACACAGACTTTTATGTCAATCTAAAGTGAGAATAGACTCAATTCATGAAATATATTGACAATAGAACTGTTCCACAACAGATAACCCTTAGGTAAAATGTATATCAACCCACCAGCTGAAACCCTAGGTAATATGTATACCTACCAGCTGAAACCCAAGGTAACATGTATACCTACCAGCTGATAATCCCGGTAACATATATATACCTACCACAGTTGATAACCCTGGTAACATGTATACCTATCAGCTGACAACCCTGGTAACATATATACCTACCACAGTTGACAACCCTGGTAACACCCGATAACCTGAGTTACTTACATGTATATGTATCTTAACCAGCTGATTACCATGGCTAGTTACATGTATATCTTCCCTAACCAGCTGATAACCCTGGTAACACCTGATAACCTGGGCTAGTTACATGTATATCTACCATAACCAGCTGATATAACCCTGGTAACACCTGATAACCTGGGTTAGTTACATGTATTATCTACCCTAACCAGCTGATATAACCCTGGTAACACCTGATAACCTGGGTTAGTTACATGTATATCTTCCCTAACCAGCTGATGACTTTCATAATAAGCTCAATTAATAACTTATTGCTGGTAATATATCCAACTTCAAACGATTGTTCCTGTTAATTTTACTGTCTAACCAAATAAATGAATATTTCTTATTTTATATTACCATCCTATATATACTAGTGTAATAAAAGTGATTAAGTAATAATATAGGTCATAATCCCAATTCCACCCAATCAACCAATTAACAAACACCAGATCTAGATTCTCAATGATTTGGTCATAATTGTACAAAGAACTACTTTTTATTTGGACATTTAAAACATTTGAATAAAAATATGTGGTACAGTATAAGAGTATTTTTCAGATAAATGAAACACATACCAATATATCAGGAAACCAGTTATAAAGAATCAGGTGTCTGGATAGGAATGAGTTTCAACATTATCATACAGTAAATCAGGGAGGTTCTGCAGTTGACTTAAAACATTTTTTTATTAATTTTTTTTTTCTGATGCAAAACGTGTATGAATGTGGAAAGCCAATACAGCATACAGATGGCTTTACATATATAGAAATTTAATGGTTTTATCTAATGCTAAAACAATTCATAAAACAAACTTTATGAAACACAATGAAGACGGCTACCTAATCTGACAATAGGATCTTGGTATAGAAATATGATATCATTGTGCAGTAGTTAATTCTAAATAATTTCTTGGTCCTTAATTAGGTGTTGTAGATTCTAGGTAACCTTATAGTGCTTGTAAGCATTGAGATGATACTTAGGATCTAATTGCATAATTGTGAGACAAAAACAGAAATTACTATCCTATAATCATTTACTATCATTAGGTTATCAAATACTGAATTATACACTGATTTTTGTAGGATTTTTTCAGGCTAGTCCTGAGTATTATTTTCAAAATATTGACAAATCCCAATTTACTTAGAGATGTACATAGTCGGGTCCCCATTTAAGGGCGAGTCCGATAGGAAAAAGCATGAGTTCTAGTCTAGGACTCAAATATCTATCCAAAAAATCACGGACACCTTGACAGGTATCTTATGGAATAGACATTAGTATAAATATATATATATATTGTTTTCATTTTTTTTCTTTTTTAAACTGATGCATGATTAACTTTATATCAAACCCCTCATAGGTTTCTTGTCATATAACACCAGGCCCATTTCTTATAGATACACAGCATAGACAGATTCCATAAAAAAGCGTTTTCACAAAAGAATGGACTTGTTTTAGTTAAAAAGCTTAGTTTACGCGAGTAACTCGTAGTACTAAGTACCCATATAATTGTGAGCTTCTGTAAGACTGAGTAAATGCCTAAACTGTCTCCTTGACCCTGACTTTGGATCTTTATTGTGATGTGATGAGGTTACAGGTGGTTAAGATTGCTCCCCCTCCCTCCCCTACACACATGTACAGCTAGCCCTCCCGTTATCTACTCTAGGAGCAGCTACCTCCAGACCTCAGCATGTGTATAGGTGTATGTGTGTGATGCTTTACCATGTCAACTCTTCACTGATATTTAAATCTCTTTGTACATAAGGTCTTGTTTATATACTTGTGTATGTACATACAACATTTATAACATACCCTCAGTGTATAACTAGCCCATCAAATATTCAACACAAGTTCAAAGTGACGTAGTGTAAAATCGACTATTTTTTAAATGTTAAGAAAAACTTTTATAAACTTACCTTTGCTTGAAAGTGTATTCCATGTTGGAAAGCGTCCTCGTTATGAAGAGGGATCCGGGTGTCATAACCATCCTCCGAAACAAGGTCATAATGTCGCTTGGATAACATTTTTATCCCTCATACAACTTTCCCATGCCACCCCATCAATCACAATCTATGTTTGGTGGCGGGGATGATGGTGAATGGAGTCGGCCATTACTCGTGGTTTGTAAATGGTGTAAATACACTACTACCACTGACAAGTATCACACAAGCGGTGTATAGTGGCGATATCTCACTGCCTCAGCTGCTACAGTTAGTAGTCGGGGTACAGTGGCTGGCCACACTCTCTCTGTGAGCACCAGGATCACACCCTTGTGTGTGGGAGACAGGACACCTAGCGCTGGGTGTGACAGTACTCCAGACTACTGGTAAGATACGGTTGGTAATTAGTAATCGGCTATTACATGGTAAACTTTACTTAGAAAATAAGACTGGTTATTCAGTTCACGTGGTACTCTGCTAACATAGTGGATAAGATTGGTACTCCAATTCCTTGGTACCTGTGAGCTAGCACTCTAGTATTCGGCTTACTTTGGTACTCGGCTATCTTAGTGGATAAGATTGGTCCTCCAATCCTTGGTACCTGTGAGCTAGCACTCTAGTATTCGGCTTACTTTGGTCCTCGGCTATCTTAGTGGATAAGATTGTTCCTCCAATCCTTGGTACCTGTGAGCTAGCACTCTAGTATTCGGCTTCCTTTGGTACTCGGCTATCTTAGTGGATAAGATTGGTCCTCCAATCCTTGGTTCCTGTGAGCTAGCACTCTAGTATTCGGCTTACTTTGGTACTCGGCTATCGTAGTGGATAAGATTGGTACTCCAATCCTTGGTTCCTGTGAGCTAGCACTCTAGTATTCGGCTTACTTTGGTACTCGGCTATCTTAGTTATCTTCTACTAAAGTGATTACTATCGGTACTCCGGGCACTGTCACTGTATAAAACTGATACCCCAGTAGAATACAGAAGGGTGGTCATATATCACTTCCTTGATACTCGATCTGTACTGGCAGTAGATAGATATGATAGGTCCTCAGGATAAAGTTGTGTACTATTGAACTAGTTCAGTGATTACTTGGTATTTTGTACTCTATAGATCAGACTGATACTCGTAACACGGGTAGTTTAGGTACTGATCAATAACACTGGTACTCACCACATCTCTGTAGTACCTGATCACCTGGTATAAGTTACTGGGACGTATAACTATATGTGAACCAACTACTCTGTAAATGTGGAAATAGTACTCTGCATACCTGTATCAACACTAGAGTGGTACTCGAAAAAGAAAACTGTCCATAAAACACTAGTACTCACTTTTCATTAATATTTTTATAAATTCTGTGTTTCGAAACTTGAATCAGAAACTTTATAGACTGATGTAAAATAACCTCCAGCTATTGTAGTAGATTCCTATACAGTCCTATTGTAGTAGATTCCTATACAGTCCTATTGTAGTAGATTCCTATACAGTCCTATTGTAAAGCAACAATGAATCCAACTTCACAAGGAATGCCTTTTCATATATAGCCTCTAACTGCTACCTAAACATTACCAGTATACTGGTTCCGTGATCCTGTGATGTTCCCGACCTTACTAGGAAACCATTAACAGCCGCTACAGTACGTAGTAACAACACTATATACTGTTATGTCTGTGCGACAGTCTTTGATCTCTCTGGTACATGCACTGGGTCTGATGCTACTGCACTGCAAGCACAGTCATATGCCAAATCAATTTTTCATTTGTCAAAGCATGGTGACAATGTTGACAGGTCTAACTATCCAACACAGTCTTTAACAGGTGCTTCTGATACACATGGCGATTAAATGTTCGGTTAAATCCTCAAAGTTCTTTCTACCTCTTCCTGGTACTAAACTGAATACACAAGTGGAGACTACGTTTCGAAATGGTCTAAAGAAGTTATTAGGGCATAGAAAAGTCCTTGCTGTATAGTTGATCAAGAATTCCTGAAAGATGAAATAAAGAAAATTAGTAGATAAAAATGTCTCAATTTACTATGCTATTGTGCCATTTTTTCTAGTTTTCAAGTAACACAATCAAATGTTGTAGAAACAATATTTTGATACCGTCAGGAAAATGGTTAGATGTTTCATTTCTGATTTAAGGATATAAGCTACTTAACACATGATATCAGCAAGCTATAGCTGGCTGTAATCTGTGTCGTCTCTCTTAATGTTTAAATCCAGTTCAAATTGAATGTAGCTTTTGGAAAACGAAATATATATATATATATATTATATATTACAGCAAGTTTGTATATACAATATACCTTCAAGTCATCTAGCTATTTTGTAATTTTTTTAATAAAATGAAAGACTAAGATCAACTAAAATTTTCAACCGATTTAATTAATATTTAACTGTGACAAAAAATAGCCGAAATGACAGCAGGGCGGTAAAATGTTCAGTGAGATAAACCATGTGTTTTTCTTAAATATCAAATGACCTGAACCATCATTCTAGTCAAAAACGTGTGTCTCAAAAAAGGTTAACTTTGCTGTCTGCAGATCACGAACATGCCAAAACTCACATCCAACTTAGCACTTTTTGAACAGATGACATTTCAGGTGTAAGGTTAAGTATATCCCTGTGGACCACTATACTAGCAATGGTGAAAGACAGGAAGTTCACTGGGACAACTCACGACTCCTACTGGTAAATGTAGCTATACACAAAGCCATTGACCTCTACTTCATTCATGCCTAGATGGGATTTACATCTCCTGCAGATTTTAATGGTACAATAAATCTTATAACTTTACTTTTGAATGATAAATTGCACATCATTAGTATCTTTATAGGAAATATTTCAAATCGTAATGGTCTTTTCATAGAAAATATAAACTTGGTTATGAACAATTTTATGGGTAATATTTTACCTCACAATTCTTATCTTGAAGACAATATAACCTGATGGCATGGATATACAATTAAAGGCACCATAGAAAGGAGGTCATTAAAGCAGGTTTCTTATCCTCAAGGGTTGAGCATCAGTATTGTATTTATTAAGTACAGGAAACCTTCTGCAAGTTAGTACAAATGCTGCTTTTTCTTGTCTTGACATACATTTGGAAATTTGGAGAGAAAAAAATGAAAAAAAATGCAGTTCCAGTGAATGTCACTTACCACCTACAGTTTCAGATGTGATGACCTTTTAAGAATCCCTCGAGTTTCTCATTGCAAATAGATATGTTGTAAATTCTGGTATAAGCCAGTCCTACAGGATGGTTTGAGGCGAGCATCAGAGATAAAATTCCAGCACTCCTAAAATTCCATTGTTAACGGGATCTTGATGGATCGATGAGAATGGCCGATAGCTGGAAAGGAAAATCAAATTCTTAGATAAATTGATTAGAAGTTTTACAAGTATAATTCGGTATACATCCTCAGTATCCCCTATCTGCAGCCTGTGTTGTCTGGACCTGAACATGAACTTTCCCAGGTACCGAGATATATATATCTTGCTGACATTACGAACATAAACTATAGCGACAGATCTTGTCTTTTAAGATTTAAGATTTTTTATATTGGCCTTTCCTTTACAGTGCATATGAATACAACAGAACCTAATGTTAAAAAAGTTTCACTATACATTTCTTAATGAAATCATCACCCATAGATACTATGTATAGCAGTACTCACACTGAGCACCTTCAAATTCACTACTGACCTTAACTGTTTGATATCAAATCTAAGGGCTACCTTTCAGCTGTTGAAATATGTAATCCAATAGCTATTAGACTGAGTTAGGATACAAAAATAGCATCACTATATTCTTATAACAGCCTTTGTGATTGGATAAAATTCAAGTCATGTGATGTGGAAAATATGTATTATCCCTTATTAGGAATTGGAAAAGTCAACCATGTGATAACAAAAATATTGCCTTCAAGGTCTTGACACCTTCTAAGAACGTGGTGAGGTTAGTATCACCTGAAAACTAGGACCATTGATGTATTATGGGTACTGAGCTTCGTTATTTGAGAAATTAATTCCTCGCGGTCACAGCTGGTTCATCGATGGTTCATGAACTGAACAATTTTACTAGAACGATATAAGTGATCAAGGCCGTTTCTATATAACCACATGATAATAATACTTTAATGTCTGTAGTTGTTCATGATCAAAGAAACAATACCTGTTCTGGGTTTCAAGCCACTATTACAGAGGAGGTTTGGATAATCATGGAACATCACATTTAATCACCAATAGTTATATCATGTGTGTTGAAATTGGCAGATTGTTATTGAAATGTTTGGAGTAAAACATTTCATGGTGTTTTTCTGAATCATTTTCGTAAGAGATATTTGTATCAATTTCTACATTTAATAAAGAAATTTATTTCTGATAATATTATCAATGATAAAAGGGGGAGAACAGTGACAAATGTGTGGGTTACACTAGGTACAGTAGTCTTGTACCTTAACCTACTACCTGTCAATAAGAGTGTACGTACAAAATAGTATGTTGTTTACAAACAATACACTCAGAACTGTCATTACTGATATATACTTTATGATGCATTGCATATATATACATGTACTTGCAAACCTTTCAAATTTTTCACATTGAGCAACTGACAAAATTGCAAACGTCTGCAAAGTACTAACAGTGGTCTCTATCTAACTTTATACACTGTTACAATTGTAATGCCGTAAGATGTTCTAGGCCTAAAATCAATTGAATTTCAGCAAAAAGCAAGAAGCAAAGAACTTGTCTCAAAACTAAATATAAGGATGAAAAATCTGAAATTTTCCTCCAAAATTCTGGGATTTAAGTATGAAATGGTACAGTGAATATAATAACACCCTGACCAGCTGTATCTGACAGCAACCTCAAGTCATATTAAGGTGTCTCCACACATCGTCATCAGTTCATAAGCTCGAGGTCGTTACGATTTTTGCTGTTGAGGGAGTTTCGCTCTGTCGATTAAATCGTGTTTACAAATGTATTCTTCTTACTCTGTGAGAATAATGTTCTGTAAAATATCAAGATACCTATGAAATGCATGTGTGAGTGCACGTGAGAACGGCATACCATGCGATAGCCTCTGGTCACATATGTACCTGACATGTAATTATAAATATACCGTGAGTTAGCGGACTGTGGAATGATATCGAAAGTGTACATGACTGAGGGTAATTTGGTTCCATTAAAGAACAATGAATTGGTAATTTTGATATCATATTTTTTATTTATTTCCATCATTTTTGTTATATGTAAACAGAGGCAACTGTCATTGTGTAAATGTTACCCCTCTGCAAAAAAATCTGGTTTTTCTTGGAGGAAGATAACTCTCACCCGGATCAAAGTGATTGTAAAATGTGAAATAAATTAATTATGAAGTCATTGTGTATATTTTGTTCAATTTCCCACTCTATATGTATAGATCTTTGTGTCCTGTTTGCTTTTAGTTTGTAGATAATCACTTTTATCCGTACAAATTCAATAAAAAAACACTTTGTGTAACATGTGTTACATATTTTGCGATAAATAAAATATTTGTAGGGTTAATTAGAAATGCTTCTTTCCATTTTTTTATTGTTGTTATTGTTGCGAACAATGCCACACAAACAAACAAAAACGGAAAATATTGAAATTGACGAAAATTCAATGTTTTGGTATTTTTTCCAAAAAAGTCCCCA